GGGCTCACTGACAGAAGCGGGGCTGCCGTACACNACGATTCTTGAATTATTGCAATGCATTCATACATAGCTGTATTTTTGAAATGACTTTTGGAGGTGTTGCCATGAAAACAAATACTACTGTAACAATATATCAACTTTATTTTTACCTTTGTTTTTAAAACCAAAATGCTTCCAAACATCGGATTTGAAATGTGATGGAGCCGGACGAAGTTTCTAATATATATATAGATATATATAGAGATATAGATATATATTGGGGCTGAAATAATCTATTGAATCAATAATCGATTAATCATGAATAATCAATCATTGAAATAATGGTTCCTACATTCCTACCCTCATCTATGGTCATGAGCTCTGGGTCAAGACCAAAAGAACGAGATCCTGGATACAAGTGGCTGAAATTAGTTTTCTCTGTAGTGTGTCTGGGCTCTCCCTTAGAGATAGGGTGAGGAGCTTAGTCATCCGGGGAGGACTCAAGAGTAGAGCTGCTGCTCTTCCACACCGAGAGGAGCCAGTTGAGGTGGCTTGGGCATCTGATTAGGGTGTCTCCTGGGAGTCTCCCTGGTGAGGTGTTCCAGGCACGTCCCGCCAGGAGGAGGCCCAGGGTTAGACCCAGGACACGCTGGAGGGACTATGTTTCTCAGCTGGCCAGCCAAGCTCCCAGGCCAGTCCCTCCGGGATTGATTGGATGGATGGATGGATGGATGGATGGATGGATGGACGGACGGACGGACGGACGGATGATGGATGGATGGATGGATGGATGGATGGATGGACGGACGGACGGACGGACGGACGGACGGACGGACGGACGGACGGACGGACGGACGGATGGATGGATGAATGAAACAATCGTCAACTAATTTATGCAGTTTAGAGGGTCTAAAACTTGTCTATAGCTGACAGAGCAACCCACCTTGAGCAGAAACTATACCAAAATGATAAAAAAGAAAGTACATTTCGCATTTGGAATAGAAAAACTTTTTCATCTGTCAATATGCTCTATCCAGGACCCCTCAAGTCGAAATATTTACATCACGTAAAAGATCTTCTTTAAGGAACCTCTGGCTATCCAATTATGAATCCAATAATCATAAAAATCATTGACAGGCTAATTAAGATATATGTATATATTAGTTTGTTTTCTAATCCAGGACCCAAGAGCACAACTGAGGTATGATAGAGGAAGACCAGGGCATCCTATTGTATAAAGGCTTGAAGGGGTCATAGAATGATTCTATAGGGTATTTAGCGCTGGTCCTTAAGGTTTCTGAATAGGGTGTGTAACATTGGTTCAGCTGAAAATGGCATATTTGCTGTTCTATGAGCCCTAATGCAAGCCTGGTTAAGAGCCCCAAAATGAAACGACAGTTTTACTTCCTTTTATGGTATGCTCATGAATATTTAGTTGTATTGGTTTACAACAAGCTCCTGAGCAAAGACGCATCATAGCAACAAGCACTCACTCGCTGAAACATCAAGATTGTTGATATGGTAGGGTGACCAGATGTCCCCTTTTTCCCGGACATGTCCTACTTTGTGCTGGGGGAATTTCAAAATTGTCCGGGATTTTGGTTGACTACAGGGCAGCAGAACTGAGCCGTGAGCTCCGGGACTGGTCCGGTGCAGGGAGCCATCGGGGGACGGAGCGGCCGAACCCTTAAAATGCTTAGAGCAAATGAACAGTTGAGCATCAAACTTTGCAGGGATCTTCTGATAGACAAAAATAATCCATACATGTCGAGTCTTCGGATCCTTTAGAAGACTGTGAAAATGTTCCCCTTTCTCCATGCTGCCAGGAACACTGCATTTACGCCCGTGGTTCTGAATCCTTTTCAATAGAGAAACTGCCTGCTTTCTAATTCCTGTAGAAGTAAACCCAACTGTAGGCTAAACAGCTAAACTGGTGTCTTACATCTACCTCTATTCATGTTCTTGGGCCAGTGAACCAGTGGGCTGGTCTGTATGTCAATTTCGGGGCGTGAAAAAAGTACAGGCCAGAACCAAAAAAGGTAACATCCCGGAAGTGATGTCAATTTGGGGCTTCTTTTGGATTTGCGCGTTTTATGGTGGAAGTTTAGAATTGTGAGATTTTTGCAGAGAAAAGAGGTGTTGGTGGGGCCTGAACTTCTCTGTACACCCATTTCACCCACTGAACTATCGTTATTCATCTATGATAATGGAAACTAGGTTTTGCATTCTATGACCCCTTTAAGAAGGACATACAACATAAAAACAGCAGGAGTTCAAATAATTGTGTTACTTATAGTATCAAAAATGAAATAAATACCTTTTTTTCAACTAAAGAAAATTATAAGCATACATTAAAAGGTCAATGAATGATTTTTGTTTTAAAATTTTTCACATATTTAACAAGGGTACAAATATTAGCAATGGAATCTATAGGCTGATTTGAAAGATTATTTAATTTTACTTTTCTTTCAAACCAGTTAGATAGTTACTCTAGTAAAACTTTATATGGAGGAAATTGTTTTACTGGAATAAGTTGACAAATCCCTTAACCTGTTTAAGAAATTACAAAATCATTTGTTACCTCTTGCTCTGATTTAAGCACAGATTTGCTGTGGGAGTACTTCAAAAAACAACTCAGGAGATATTTTCCTGCAGCATCGAGTTAATTGTGTGTACCATTCTAGATCATAAGCTAAAGATGATAGACTGTTGTCTTCAGCACATTCCAAAGATTCTCTGTTGAGTTACGGTCTAGACTCTAAATTTCCACATCCTGACAAACTGGTGACAGCCAACCAGACACTGTGACTGAAGATAAAGTACCCAAAACAGTAAAGATATAATTAATGATCCCAAATGACAGCAAGATTGAAATGGATTGCAAGAGGCTAAAAAGAATTACCGAGGACTGTCAAAGGAAGAAAATAAGTTTACAAAACTAGGATCTGTATCTTAGATTGGTGCTTTCAGAGTTTTGATCTTCACTTTTGAAAAGAAGCTGAGGGGAAAAGATTAAAATACTTCCAAAATATATATTTCTCCAGTCAAATCTATGGTCAGTCTATGTGGGTATTAATCAAGTCACATTTACTTTTAAGTTTTAAACCCATAATTATCAGAATATTCTTGCAGCTGTTAGGAAAAAACTTAATTTTCCTATGACAGATGCAAAATTTGTTACTTTTAATACATTTTGCAGGAAAAGTTTTAATTTTTCTGAAATCTGTAAATACATAATATTTTCCACTCCTAATGGACTGATGTGCTCCCACTGCTCTAACCCAGCTGAGTCAAACTCTTCATTTACATCCTCAGCATTAAAAAAAGAAAAAAAAAGAGTAGATCCCTGCTAATAACCTATTTCTTTGATTCCACCGTGTTGAAAAGATATTCATCTTAATGCTGCTTGGCTTCAGGCCCCAAGACTGAAGTTTGAAACCTCTGCGTTCGTGGTTCCTGATTTTCTGACTTGATCAAGAGAAATCCAACGGCTGCTGAGGTGCAGAAAAGTGTTTCACATATCAAAGCTCTACACCGCCATATTTAATGTGAAAAACTGTCACTCTTTACTAGTTTGCACTCATACACCTTTTTCTATTATTAGAATAGGACAGAATGTGCATTAAAAGAAGGCTGATAATAAGGCTTGGGAACGAACATTGCCCATTTTTCTAGTCTTTGACAGGATATAAATAGAAACAAGATATATAACAATATTTAGAAGTTTAATTTTTGTAATAAAAAAAAACAGGTAATGAGCTTAACTGATACAAGATTTGATCATCAACAACTCTTTCAGTGTAAAGATGAAGTTTGGGGATGAAAAGGGGAAAGGAAAGAAGGAAAGCTAGAGTCTTGGCAGCTTAGAAAACCTCTATTAGACGACTGACTCCAGGTACAGACTCTCACCTCCTGGCCACCCATGTGGAGCTCAAATGGGTTTTTGGAATGGAAATTTTAACTCATATGAGACGAGGAAGAGGGGTAGAGGAGTTCGGTGGTTTTCCAAGCTCAAAATGAAGAGCACCTGTGCTTTTTGAACTTCAGTCAGAAAACGTAGTTAAAGCTCTTCAAGAAAAGCAGCAGCTTTAAAGTCAGCAAGGAATAACCAGTGGGTCATTATTTGTACCTAAAACTAATACGTTCACAGTGATTTAATGAATTTAGCGTAAATCAGTAAAAGGATTAAAACAATAATTTTGGTCTTCATAACTGAGTCCGGGACCAGCCAGTTTTGCCCAAATATAGTAACACCTCACTCCTGACATCTTCCGGCAGTGACGCCATGGTGCGGTTAGCCTAGCGCCATTCTGCCCGCTTTACAAGCAAAACCAATGGGAATGACTAGACAAATCTGCAATCAACAACAATTATTTAGGATTTCAGGAGGACTTCACCATTGAAATTTGCGAGAGCTATAGTTAAACTGACAAGGCCACGTGCATGGCAGTTGGATATTGCAATACATCGGGTGAAAGTGAAAAAAAAAATTGTTATTTCACCTTTCTGATTTATGATCAACCAGTGTTCATCGTTGGATCGCCGATTTGAAGATGGAGGATTTGCCATCGAACTTCTGGCCAGTGAAAAAACCCCTCATTAATCCATCACTCGTCACCATCATGGATAATAGCGCGTTGTGAAAAACACCAGATACAGCACTGGGACTTAATCACCAGCCGATACCGCACCGTGATGTCACAAACCGGTATGTGTTCTTTGAAACATGGATGTCTCCGGTTAAGCACATTCAAATGAAATTACTCTTAATTAAAAACACGTATCATTTATTGAACAGTATGTAATAATTTCATACTTAAAGTACTTTCAGAAGTTTGTATTCTGAATGTGACTGCACTTTTCCTTTAATACATCATGGGGAAGACACTCATTTTATTGTGTAAGATCAATAGCAGTGACTGTTGTGAAATATGGGGATTTCAGAGTAAAAGACTGAATAAAACCTGAAACATTATGACTACATTAATGGCGAATAGGTGGTGTTCTTTAGCGGGACTCACCATATCCAGAGCTCCGAAAGCCTTTTGGAGAACATTGGCCAGAGTAACACCAGCTTCCCACCTTCCAGTGATAAGACAAGCTGACTGTGACAGAGTCTCTGAAAATAAAGGAACCAAATGATCTTAGAAACAGCTAGGTTGTTTTTCTCGTTTTAGGAAATTTGTCATCCCCATTTATGACATCCTGTTTAGGAACAGTGGGTGGCCACTGAGCAGGGCCAGTGGCTAAGAGTCAGGCCAGCACTCCCTCAAGCCCCATTTAGACTATCCTGTTTAAAACCGTACTGAGAACGGTCTGAGCACAGTAACCAAGATAACTGTTGAGTGAATGTGAAAAGCAATAGAACTGAACTGTGCCAGACAAATCCGAACTGCTCTAAATTTAGTACAAGTTCAACATTAGGGCTCGGCACGGTTCATCTGTGGCTCGGTTCTATAATAACAAATGTGTTCCACTTCTCTGCCTGTTCTTTGAGGAGAATAACTTTATTATTCATTATCAATGTTGGTTATTTAATCTATTTAAGTTGCATTGTTTCTTCCTATTCTTTTGTGATTCACACAATGAAGATGATATACTACTTTTATCCGGACGAAAGGAATCTCTGCTTCAACTAATTTCACTGCTCAGGGAGAGTAACCAAAACATGGGGGATTAAACCTTATATAATTATACTATGCATGCGAAAAATAACAAATATATTATATTTAATAATCTATATAATTTGAGGGCTTAACAAGATGGAAGTCGCTCTGTCAATGAAGCAGTGAACAGGAAGACACACTGCAGACGCATATGTCTGAGTGAGCAGTATTTATACCTGAATCCTGGACTAGTATGGAGATGAATAACTATAACTACATAGGTGTGTACTAGCATGTGCTATTTGAACCAATAGGAATATTCAACTGCAAGAGCCACCATTCAGCCACACAGGACAGAAATGTGGCAGTTTGAACTGTAACTATACAGCGTATGTTTACATTATTACTGCTGCTTACATTTATAAAGGCTGCACTTTAAAAAAAAATGAAAATGTCTTAAGAGCTATACTGAACAAAATTTCATTTTGTATACACTTGTGTGCACAAAATGACAAATAAAGTCTTTCTAAGTCTCTAAGTCTATGTTTAAAGACAAATAATATATTGCATGAAATATGAAAATATCAATAAAAGCACAGTAACATTAAATAAGTAATCCATAGACTAAGTTTAAACTGTAGAAAATTATTACGATTTGCATTTAAACTGTATAAATTATACACTTCAGATTTAAAAACGTGGATTTTGGGACGAGTTACACTTATATGTCTCTGTGCTGCTGAGATACCATGAGGGGGGCTGGTAAATGTAACATCGATGATTCACCAGCTGGCACACAATCAAGCTATAAAAAAAGACCAAGAATACAATTAAATATGTTCAAACAAAAACACAACAGTTATCGAGGACAATCAGCCCCTCCAAGACCGCTGCAAAAATATTAATTAGGACCTCCTATGAGGATGTCTGGCTTGATAAAAGGAATAGTAGGGTACGTGTACGTGATTGCTTCAAACGCACACCCACCAAAGCATTAAGCAGTTAGTCAAACTGACAGACATGAGAACTTCCTTCCACATCTTTTCTTACAAAAAAAAATATGACACAAAGAATTCATTCACTCGGGAGGCTCTGGGAATTATCACTGTGCACCTTATGTCACCATCAAACAGGTACTTGTTGGTCCAGGTGCTGGCAGGGTGAAACATGGAGCCGTGTTTATTTCCTCTGCTCTGATTGTGAAGGCCTCCCTTGTCCTAACTTGCTCTCCGCAGTATTCACCATCTGCTTACACCCGCCCTCTTCATCTCAGGCCAAACAATACTTAAAAAGAATTGCCCCTGTCAAAGAACAGTGATGGGTCATTTTATTTTATTGTCACCTATTTACTTCTAAGTATAGACCACACAAAAAGAGACAAAGCACTCTGGCTCTGCTCACTTCAGAGCATTTAATCTGTCTGAGAAGGGCTCTGGAAACAGCCATTCACGTATGCATGTATGGATACCGTACAATTCAAAAACAGGAAAAGAGATCTCTTTAAGGCACATGTGTAAAAGAACAGTTATGAAGGAGGAAACTCACCTTTGATGATGGACTCAGCAGCAGCCAAATCCCGTTTATAGGTCACCTGAGGGGCAAAGAGCTTTTCAGTCAAAGCAGAAACAAAGCTAATTTATTTTTTCTGTTTATTTCCTGAATTTCCGAGATATTTGTCCAGGAACATTCACAAGGGTGGAATTTTGCCTCTAAGCTTCAAAGGATTAAATCTGAGCTGATAAAGGTGATAAATTAAAGAATCGTAAATCATTAACACTTCCTTTCACAGCGATGAATGATTACACACACATTGGGATTCTATGAATACATGTCAAGCGTTGTTCAAGTGTGCAGAAAACTTCCCATTTATATTACCTTAATATACACTTGAATTTTATACGGTATGGCTTAGGTCAAACCTCGAGGATTTTCTTCCGGAACCTTCTACGTAACAATAATTTGCTGGAAATTTGGCCCATTCTTTTAGACAAAAACTGGTGCAATTGAATAACTTTACTATTGCAATTAATCAATGCAACAGTATTTTCTTCAAATACTTGTTATTTTGTGAAGTGCAGCGGTGCCTACTGTTGGAAAACGACTCTATGATATTGAGTAGTCACCCATACTACACATAGGGAACGGTGTTCCAAGGTTTGCAAGATTCCTCCCTTTCTTTGAAGTTTAATGATGAGCTTTTTGGTCAATTACTTTAGACTTAGTCTCAGATGTCTCAAAAACAGTCTTACTTTGATGACATTTTGCAAATAGAAATTATATTAGATAACCCTCAGTAAGCTCAAATAATACATTTTATGTCAGACTTTGAGTAAGAACACTGAAATATTTGGATTCCAGGAAGCCATTTATTACCAGAGGACCTAAAGTCGTATTTAGTTCCCCTAAGACAGGCTGAGGCGCCTTAAGAAGTAAAGCTAAACCATCATTGGATGTCTACCTGGAGAATTATATACAGTCATATGAAAAAGTTTGGGCACCCCTATTAATCTGAATAGTTTTTATTTCTAAATATTTGGCTAGTATTTGGCTAATAACTGATAGATACAGTAATATTTCAGTATTTAATTGAGATTTATTGGACTAACAGTAAATGTGCAGTATACATTAAAACAAAATTAGACAGGTGCAAAAATAAAGGTACCTCAGTAAAAAGGACACATTGTTTAGTAGATCCTCCTTTTGCAAAAACAACAGTCTTTAGTCGCTTCCTGTAGCTTTTAATGAGTTTCTGGATCCTGGATGAAGAGATTTTTGACTATTCTTCTTTGCAAAGCAATTCCAGTTCAGTTAAGTTTGATAATCGCCAAGCATGGACAGCCTGCTTCAAATCATCTCACAGATGTTCAATGATATTCAGGTCTGGAGATTGGGATGGCCGCTCCAGAACATTGTATTTGTTCCTCTGCGTGAATGCCTGAGTAGATTTGGAGCGGTGTTTTGGATAATTTTCTTGCTGAAATATCCATCCCCGGCAACTTAACTTCGTAACTGATTCTTGAACATTATTCTCAAGAATCTGCTGATATTGAGTGGAATCCATGCGACCCTCAATTTTAACAAGATTCCCAGTGACAGCATTGGCAACGCAGCCCCAAAGCTGACCACCAAATTTTACAGTGGGTAGCAACTGTTTTTCTTGAAACATTGCGTTTTTTTGCTGCCATGCATAACGCCTTTTATATGACCAAACAACTCAGTCTTTTTTCAGTCCAAAGGACCTTATTCCAAAATAAAGCTGGCTTGTCCAAATATGCTTCTGCATACCTCAAGCAATTCCGCTTGTGGGGTGCTTGCAGAAAAGGCGTCTGTCGCATTACATTCCCATACAGTTTCTCCTGATGCAAAGTGATCTGAATTGTTGAACGATACACAGTGACACCATCTGTCGCAAGATGATGCTGCAGGTCTTTGGAGTTGGTCAGTGGGTTGACCTTAGACATTCTCACCATTCTCAGTCTTCTTTTTTCTTTGCCTGCCACTTCTGGGCTTAACAAGAACTGTCCCTGTGGTCTTTCATTTCCATTTACTAAGTTCCTCACAGTGGAAACTGATAGTTTAAATCTCTGAGACAACTTTTTGTATCCTTGCCCTGAACGACTATGTTGAACAATCTTTGTTTTCAGATCATTTGAGAGTTGTTTTGAGGTGTCCATGATGAATCTGCAGAGGGGGTTCAAACAGGAGAACAACTTGCAACTGTCCACCTTAAATACTTTTTCGCATGACTGGATATACCTGGCAATGAAGTTCAAATCTTAATAAAGTTAACAAACCAATTTTGTGTTTCAGTAAGTCAGTGAAAAGTAGTCAAGGGTATTCAAATCAATAAAATGATTAGGGTATCCACATTTTGCACCTGTCAAGTTGTCTTTTAACGCATATTGCACATTTTCTGTTAGTCCAATAAACCTCAATTCAACACTGAGATATTACTGTGTCCATCAGTTATTGTATATATCAAACTGAAATAGCTGTTGCAAACACCCAATTATTTAGAAATAAAGATAATTAAGATTAATAGGGGTGCCCAAACTTTTTCATATGACTTTTTTTTTTTATTAGATTGTAATGTTTAAGGCCTTTCTTAAATTTAAACAGGCCAAATCCTCACTTTATGCATCGACCAACCCAAAGCAGGGGCTTTCTATGCTTACCTTCCACAGACTTGGTGGACCATCAATAAGCTTAGCATTGGTGCCGCAGTACTGCAGAGCTAGATGGAGGCACTCGGTACCAAACTCGAAATCTGACTCGGTGCACTGAAGAAAGGGGACAAAAGATAATAATAAAGTACCTGTTGATGTGGCAATGGTAAAGAATAAGAGCTTGACAGAACAGCCTTTCAGGTGAGTGTGGAGCCCTCATTTGGGGGACATGGGGTGCTACTAGAGCTCCCCAAAAACAAATCTTCGCAACATTAATGGTTGAGATGCTGTTGTTTCATCACTGTTTGGATGCAATATTTAGGTAGAAAACATATTTCAAATGAGACACCTTTATAAATATAAATAAACAAATATATAAATCTCCCTACATATATTGTTTGGCTGGCTAGATGGACACTATTAACATTTTTGTACATCTGTAGCAGCTGAGATGATAACACTCACAGCTTGTGAAAGGAAATGTACTTTTTGATTGGATAGGATCATAGGATTGATTGTAACAAATATAGTGATTTGATTTTTTAGGAATGCCAGTGTGTTAGGTTTATTCAATGATGATTATAAAATGAATGTGTGTTCATATGAAACATTGTAGAAATGAGATGCTTCACTCTGCCTCGTGATTCAGTCAAGAGGAGAGCATCCTGTCTTATGACCTGATCAACTGTCCTGTCAGAACAATACTCTCTTTTGTAACCATGTGTTATGTTCTGTTATTAAAAGACGGCTGCAGGAGGGGGGTCGGTGAAAGAGCTGGAAGTTGGGTTGGGCTTTTTCCACTCCTGCAGGAGTTGTTTGAATCTCTTTCCTGTGTGGACTCAGTTCTTCTTTTACAAACCTAAATTTTTTAACCTAACATAGTGCAATATCATATCTCTCTAATACTGTACATCCGTAGGTGCTAGTAGAAGCTCCAGATGGCCCTGTGCTGTGTCTGGTATTTCACTAAAACAACTTTAAAGCACAGGAAAGATACACCCTTTAATATTCTGCTTAATTAAGTCTTTCCATCCTCGCTTCACCAAGGACCACAAAAACTGGCCAATGCCTAGATTCAACCTTTTAGGAAATCTGGTTAGCAAGTTTAACAATATTTACTTACATAAATGAGCAACCAATACTGTCATCCAGCATTCTTTGCAAAATATACAAATATTGGTAATGCAATTTGTCACTATTTTCGGCATTTAATCTGTAAATATTGAAATAACTTGAAATATGTTTAAGTGATGGTGTTATACATGATATGAAATACAGTTGTATACAAAGAAATATTACTTAAAAGCTAATCTATTCAGGATCACAAACCATTCAATGAGTGAAACACAAGCACTTTAAGCATCTGATTCTCTTGATCGGGATCATATGCTGCTGACAACTCATGAAAATAACATCTTTGCAATTAGAATAGGACATGAGAGCGATAACGAAACCTTTTACAATGTAAAAAATTTGGGTTTAAAAGTATACTTTCTAAAAGGTAGTTCATAGTGTTGCACCGATACCGATACCAGTATGGGCAGGGCCCCGTCCAGCACTAAAATGGTGGTATCGGTATCGGCGAGTACCAACCATCGGCGAGTACCAGCCAAAAGTTTATTCAACTATTGTCACCCATTCCAGGTAGGCAATAAAAAGTCTCACTTTGTATTATTTTTCCTGCTTCACAAAGGTAGGCAGCAGCTTGACAAAGCCATGATGGGAATTTTACATACAAGCAGTATGTAGTTCTTCATATATACACACACACATCAATTTCAAACAGTCAGGAAGGGTATGGTATTGATATCGGCCGATACTGCACAGCCAGGTATCGGGTATCGGGGCCAAAAAATGGCATCGGCGCAAAACTAGTTCTTAGTGTCAAAGTTTTTGTTTATTTGATAAACAAGCCTCGTTGCTTATCAGCTACATTTCCAATAAATGCTTAAGATTTAATTGTTGCACAAAATACATCTAACACGAGCATTAAACACCTTCTTACAGTTTCGTAATACATTTTACTAGTTTCCTATTGACTTAATTAGCTGCTCTACATTCAACTCCCTAAACAAATTTAAAGTTAAATAATGTATGCCTTCATGAT